AAGAGTGCAAGACTCACCACACAAAAGGCCCCAATTGTAGGATTTTGACCTAATTCCCCTTTTGACCACAACCTCCATTTCTGCACTTTGCATTTAGCCTTCATGTTCTTTGTAGTATTTTAGTTCATTAATCCCCTCATGGACTCACTTACCTTTCCCTTTTATTTGTTAATGCCCAGGAAAGCACATCCAGGGACTCAAGAGCACCAGTAAAGAATCAGGGTTAGGGCTTCCCTGGTGGCGCAGTGGTTAAGGGTCCGTCTGCCGATGCAAGAGACACGGGTTCGTGCCCCGGTCCGCGAAGATCCCACGTGCCGCGGAGCGGCTGGGCCCGTGAGCCATGGCCACTGAGCCTGCGCGTCCGGAGCCTGTGCTCCGCAACGGGAGAAGCCACAAAAGAATCAGGGTTAAAAACGCGTGGCCCCTGGTGTCAAATTGTCAGGGTTAGAATCATGATCTGAGTGTGACCCTAGGAAGTCATAGATGCTTTCTGAGCCTTGGTTTTCTCATCTGTAAAGTAAAGGTGATGATAATGGTCCCAATGTAAGATCAAATGAGATATTTCAGTGCCTGACACATTGAAAGCAAGAAATTAATATCAGTTATTTCAATTATTATCCATGGTCTTAACTCCCACCAACATATTAGATAATTCCTATAAGTTGAATTTCTACCTTTAAATTTTTTTCTTTAATCAGTAAGAAGCCTTTATCTGCCCCAAGTATTTTCTATGTTCCTTTAATGTCACAGTTCACCCAGCCACCCAAATCAGAAAACCTGGGAACAATTCTTATTCCTGTCTACTTCCTCTATCCAAGTCATAAAATTCTCACAATTCTTCCTCTTAAACAGCTCTTTCATTTATCTTCTCCTGCCTCTCCCTTCTTCCCCTGCCCTATTTAGACCCTAGATTTCTGCTTTAGCTTACCAAGTGATCTCTACCTCTAGAGGTTTACATATACCTCTTTTCTAGAATATTTTCTAAAATGCAAATCTGATCAACAATGATAGGCAAATAACAGGCATTCGAGAACATTCATTTGTATTTCTTCCTACTTTTCCAGCCTCATCTCCTGCCACTGACCATACACACCCTCTTGGAAGCTAACAGCTTCCAAGAGTGCCCATTTTGAAAGACAACAATCATGTATGTGTATATTTGATTTTAAAAAATAAGTCCCTTTTTTATTCACAACTGGACTAAAGATCTCATTTTATAAACATGATGTCTATGCTTAAAACACAGAAAATGGAAACACAAAGAAAGGTCTGTCAGGAAAGATCTGTTTTTAGTGCTTGAGCCAATCTTCCAACATTGCTTATTTCAAATCAGTGTTTTTCCTACTTTTTTGACCAATGTATTTTGACAAATACATTGTTGGAATGTCTCCTTTACCACGAAAATGACCTAGTCTGTGTAAATTTTGATGTAAATATCATTTAACAGTTTAATGAAGCAATACTTAATTTGTGTGATAAAAATCAGGTATTTTCTTTTCTGTGGTTATCTATTTCGCGACCTCCTAAATTGATTTCACGTGTAGCAGAGTTTGAAGCAAACGCTTTAAATAGCCGGTCCCACCTGCCAGGCTCCAGGGTTAGCTTGTCTCTAACTCATCCTTTCCCAGAGCAGCCAACTTCCCGCGGCTTTGGTAACCTAGCAACCAGGCAGCGCAGGCAGACACTTCCGGACCGCAGTTGTCCAATCAGCTCTGCAGAGTTGTCGCGGAGGCTGATGGGGCGCCGGAGACTGCGCGGCCGCTAGTGTGTGCATCATGGTGACGGGCGGACGCGGAAGTGTGGTGGCAATGGCGGCTTGGTCCACCTTAAACGCTGCGGGTGTGACTCTGTTCCTCTTGTTGGTCCTTCTTCGCGTCTTACAGGCTCAGACCTTCTTCTTCCCTTTCCGGCAGCCGGAGTCGTGCGGCCCCAACCAGTACTTCGATATCTCCACGCTCTCCTGTGTCGCGTGTGGAGCCAATCAGAGGCAGGATGCTCGAGGTGAGACGGTCCGGGATGGGCCCTAGCCAAAGTAACACCTCCGCCTTGATGCTGTCCCCAGACCCCTCGTCACTAAAATATCTTTTCGTCTGCGGAAGAATGTTTCAGGAAGGTTAACTGCCAACGCCTGAGAGGAGGGTTTCCTTGGAGGATTGAAGCTTGCACACGAGTGAGGTTGGGGAAACCCTGAATCCGCTACCTCATAGTCTGTCGTAATTAATTTCTCGGCTCCAGTCCCCCATTCCTCATCCGGGAGGTCTTTAGGGAGGCATCTGGAAAGCTGACTACCGAAGGAAGAAAAATAGAGAAGTAATCTGAGGTGCAGAGGAGCAGGTGACAGAACAGGTCAGGGAGGGAATGCAAATTAGCGCTTGTAAACTTTGATAGTTTTTGATCTTTTCAAATCCCAGAATTTAGAGCTGGAAGGGACCTTAACTGTAATCAGGTCCAGTCTTCTTGTTTTACAGATACGGAAATGGAAGCCCAGATGAGGTTGTAATGTCTTCTTTGTCTTCTAAATTGGGGACAGGAAGAACTCCTGTCTCTTTGCCCTCAGTCTTGACCTATGTGTTTCCACTATGCAGTCTTTCCGTAATATTATAGATTTCCTTAGGATTTAGCCCTTTCATTGTTGAATATTACTGATTGCCCTTAAAGTCTCTTTAGATTAAACTTAACTTTTTTTTTCTTGAGACGTTCATCATTTGGTCCTAGTTGTCCTCACTGAAACTGCTCAGAATAAGTCTTTTCCCATATTACAAAGTTTAGAATGTTTTTAATCTCGGTGTGGGCACCCAGGTATTAACTTTCTGCCATCTTGAAATTTGATGTATCTTTATTTAAGTCACTGTGAGGACAGGTCAGGATTCTCAGGTGAGGAAATATGAATGAGAAAGCATTTCCCAGACTCTAAAGTGTAAGGTTCATAGTTATGAACCCTGATATCATAAACATTCTACTACATGGATTCCTATGGGTGCTGTATCCACTTAATGCCTTCTTAGAGAATGCTGTCCTTACCTATCCAGCAAATTGAGTAGTGATTATCTTATACAGTTTACTATCTTTCCAAACAGAGAAAAACAGTGATTTATTTGAATTGAGATAATTTTCCTAATAAGGTTTTGTTTTGACAAAGTAAATTTGAATTAATTGAATATATGTGTATGGTTGGATGAAATAGAAATGTAAAATCTCCCATAGCAGTTAATCAGTAGTTTGGTTATTAGTTTAATAGTTATAACTTAATAGTTTATTTATGCTTGCACTTAAAATGGTAGCAAACACAATACCTACTGTGTGCCAGATGGATTCTAAGACCTTTACAGATAATAACTAACTTACATTAACCCTGTGAAGTAGGTACTGTTTGTTGTTCCCATTTTACCAAATTGGAAGCCAAAGCACAGAGCAGTTCAGTACCTTGCTCAGGGTCACACAGCTAAGTAGCAGAATCAAGATTAGAACCTAGGCAGTACTGGCTCCACTGTGTTGCTTTTTTTTTTAAAAAATATTTATTCATTTGGTTGCGCTGGGTCTTAGTTGTGGCAGGAGGGCTCCTTAGTTGCAGCTCGTGGGCTCCTTAGCTGTGGCATGCCAACTCTTAGTTGTGGCATGCATGTGGGATCTAGTTTCCTGACCAGGGATCAAACCCCAGCCCCCTGTATTGGGAGCGCAGAGTCTTAACCACTGCTCCACAGGGAAGTCCCTCTGCTGTCTTGCTCTTAACTACTACTTCTCAAGATCTTAAGAGTTATTAAAATTTTCCTATCTTGGAGTTTTATTTATCAAGGTCAAAATTAGCTCTTTTCTTTTTAGGAACTGTATGTGTGTGTCTACCAGGATTTCAGATGATCTCTAATAATGGAGGACCTGATATTATTTGTAAAAAGTGCCCAGAAAACATGGTATGGAGTATTTATTTTAAAAAATAATCTTACTGTAAAAAATAGTAAATTAAATACCTTTGTTTTTTAAACTACAATTTAATGCTGTACTCTAATATTTTCCCACAGATTTTAAAATTATTAAGCCAACTTTGTTTTTACTAGAGTAAATTTTGGGAGATCAGTGCAATTTTGCAAACTTGGAGAAAAACAAAGATATTGCTTTACTTGAAATCTGAAAAAACACAAAGCTGTGAAAATTTGAGGGTCTTTATTTTTATTTCATAGAGAAACTGAGTTATAAAAGCAAATATCAATAGATGAGTGAATGATACATATATAGAGCACTTTTGCATGTGTGTATCATTTGGTACAGAGTGAGTTCAGTGTCTTAGATTTAGTGTCAACAGTTTTATATAATGATTCATGTTCATAATGGTATCTGAGTGATAAGTTCATGAAATGCCAGTTTCATCAGTAAATAGGTTAATATCTGTTGCTGTTTTGTTAATCATTTCATTATATCATAATTTTTGGAAAATTAGTAAATGAATAGTTACTATATATGATGATTCTTAATTAACAGAAATATATATTTGAATCATTTTGGGTAATTAGGAGTCAGTGTGCCAGTTCTGCCTTTATAGTAATGTTTCTTCTCATTATTGTATTAAAAAAATTGAGTCTGGGAATTTAATATTTAATATATAAACCAGTCCTTGTTTATGACTAGTACTTACAGGTTTGATGATCATTTTGAAACTTTATATTTTTGGAAATATTGACCCTAGCTGAATTACAGTGATAAAAAGCTGCTAATATGAAATGGTGCCAAAGCAGATTTATTTTTCAGTGACATTACTAAGTTATCATAATTTTTAAATAGTCCTACATATATAAATGTACTAACAAATATAGGAGCATTTCTTGATATATCCAGTCTTTTCTACCAAAACCTAAAATAATTTGTGGCATTGTTTTGTTGTTACCATTGTTTTCTATTAATTTTGGTTACATACATATTTGTAATAAAATTACTGTATTTTTACCCCAGGTTTCTTTCTAAACCATATGATATTATAAGCCCAATTTTTGATGATGTCATATTTTATCAAAAACCTTTACTAGTACAAACTATTAGTGGATAAAAGGAAAGATCTCATAATTTAAACAACTTTATATTTATTTACCATAAAATTCATCCATTTTAAATCATAACTTAATTGTTAAAAGCATATTTGAATTTTTAAAAATTAGAATAACTATTTTAGAACAGATAAGACTAAACTATTAATTGGCTATCTGTTGATTAAATAGCGTTGAATTTCATTGCATTTTTTCTTTGTAAATGGAAAAACTGAATGACTATTAATTATGAGAGTAAGGACTCATTTAAATTGAAAATCATAAGGAAGAAAGAACTATTGCCTGGAGTTAATAGTAGTCAGTACTTATAGTAATAATAATATAGTAGTCAGTACTTATAGTAATAACGTATAGCTTGATTTTTGAATATAAGCACAAATTGTCTATCCAGGAAATCTTTATGTGGCTCATATTTATATAATTTATTTGCATATCTCCTGCAAATTATACACTATTGTGGCTTTTTGGACTTACATGATAAATTAAGAAGGAGAACATTAATTAAGAAAGGGAAAATAATTTTTTTTTTTTTAATTTAGAAAGGTGTTACTGGAGATGGCTGGAACTGTATTTCTTGCCCTGGTGGTTTAACTGCAGAAGGAAAGTGCCACTGTCCCACTGGCCATATTTTAGGTAAGAAGTAGATTCTAGAATGTGTCCTTATAGACTTTTTTTTTCCTGTGTTTAATGTACATTGTATACACTGTAACCACAGGAAATATAAGTGGTATTTTTTATGTAAATATTTCATACCAAAAACATTGTTCTCCAGCATACTTTTTTCAGTTAATGGTATGACCTGTTAGATCTACCACATTCTTTTTAATCCATTCCATGGTATTTCATAGCATTTTGCTATTTAAAATATTTAGATTATTTTCTAACAAATAATGTTTTTTTTTTTTTTACGGTACGTGGGCCTCTCACTGTTGTGGCCTCTCCCGTTGTGGAGCACAGGCTCCGGATGCGCAGGCTCAGCGGCCATGGCTCATGGGCCCAGCCGCTCCGCGGCATGTGGGATCTTCCTGGACCGGGGCACGAACCCGTGTCCCCTGCATCAGCAGGCGGACTCTCAACCACTGCACCACCAGGGAAGCCCTGGTTTCTGTATTTTTTATGTGGGAATGGGGAAGGCTTCACTTTTCAATACTTTATTATGGATGGTGCTTGACATGTCTTTATGCAAACAAGTTGTTTTGAGAATTACTAGAATAATAATTACAACTGGGTTTTACTAAGTGTATAGAAGCTTATATATTGACTATGAGTTAACATCTTATTGTTTCTAAATTGTTTAGTGGAAAGAGATGTTAATGGAACATTGTTGTCTCAAGCAACTTGTAAGCTCTGTGAGGAAAGTGAAAACTCTTTTACAATAGCAAATGCTTTAGGAAACAGGTAAGCGGTGTGCTGGGTGCTGACTTCATTAATATCTTATATTTATGTAGAATCTGTGCCTTTCCTATCAGATTCCTTGCTCCTCACAATAACCCAAGGAAGGATAGAAATAAACAGGTAAAGAAGCTGAGGCCCAGAAAATGAGACAGAATAGGGTTTAATTCTTGTTTCAGTGTCTTGTTGGTTGTTTGACCTTGCTCAATAAGTCTGTCTCCTTGTCTTCAGAATGGGGACATACCACCCACTTCATAGGCTGTTACCACAGCTCAGAAACATACTTTACATACCTAAAGTTCTTAGCTAAGTACTACAGAGTAAGTGCTCAGTAAAAAAAAAAAAGTGCTATTTTTGTTTGTCACGTAATTTGTATATAATCTATAATATAATGCATAGTATATAATAGTAACTTTTATTTGCAATCTACTTATTATATACTAGGTACTATCTTTATATATTATATTACATAAAAATATGTTAATAAATGTGATGGTAATTATCATAACCCAGGTATCCTGGTTTATAGCCTTATTCTCTGTCACTTCCTGTTCCCCATTTATGCATGCATACCTGCACACCACACACACACCCCTCCCTTTCTTTAACTCAAACACATCATCCCTATTCCAGTTCAATTCTTTTAGTTGCCACATGCTCACCTCCCTCTAAATACCGTTTTCTCTTCAGTTCCCAAATTTGAGATAGAAAATACTTGAGCAGTTTCTCCTGGGGATACTTAGTGTTGGATCATCTTTTCTCTCAGGCTGACCTAGGTTGTAGCATCCTAATACAGACAACTGGGTTGATCCCCTGTTCCTCCCCTCTTATACCTCCCTAAGCCTAGTTTGGGTTCTGTGCTGTGCCCCAGCTCCTCCTCCTACCTGTTCTATTTTGTAAGTAATGAGTACCCATAGAAACCTATCAATGTCCCCACTAGTCCACTGCCCTCCCTCCCTCCTTCTAAATCATTCATTAATGAAAAATATAAAGTATTTTCCTAAAATAAATAAAGACGATGAAAAGGCTTTAAGAGTGTTTGTTGTAGGTTTGATGAGGGTATAGATACTCGTTTCTTCTCAGCGTATGTTACCTTTTCGCTTTGTGGCAGAAAAATAAGGAAAGTATATTCGATAATAGCTACTTATAAAAATGGATTTGGTTTCATTTATATGAGTTTGTTGGGCTCTTTTGTTATTTGAGTGACTTAACCATCTTTGCTGTTCAATACTATTTATTTTATATTACCTGCGGTTTCAAAAGAGTATTCGCCTATTATTGGTTAATTTTATTTATACCTTGCCTTGTAATACAAAAAGTAGTATATCAGCATTAATACTTTTAATATGTTTACTTTATTACAAGTAATTGCTTAGTTGAATGAATCTATTCTAATCTAATCAGTTAGGAAGACAAGTTCTCAATTAAATTAGGGCTAGTGTAATTTATTAACGTTTAACAAATTATTTTTGTTATATTGACAGGTGTGTCCAATGTGAACCAACATTCATTAATACCAGCAGGTCCTGTGTGTGTTCAGAACCTAACATTTTAGTAAGTCTAATCAAATTGATAATGTATATACTTTTAAATTAAATTACTTATATTCTTCCATAAACTTTTTTTTTTCTTATTTATTAATGAAGACAGGGGGATTATGTTTCAGCAGCACAGGGAATTTTCCTCCACGTATGATTTCAGCTGCACGTTATGGAGATCTTGTGAGTATGCTTCAGTTTTTTTTTTGTTCTATTGTTAAGGATATTTCTGCATTTCTTCCTTTGGTAATTAATTTGGGACTAAAATGAGAAACATTTATGTGTAAATCACTTTAAAACAGAAATTATCAGTCAGTAAGAAACATTAGACAACAACTCAGCATTATAATTTATAAGTACAGTTGCTCTCTTCTCTACCTTAGCTCATTTCTTTTTCAGTGGATCTCAGAATGTTTAAGCTGGAAAGGTCTTTTATAGATCCTATAAAGAAGGCAGTATAATATAGTTAAGAGCACCAGAGACTCTAGGTTTGAACCCTGGATTTACCAGTCATTAGTTTTATACCTTTGGACTTTCTAAACGTCAGTTTTATTGTCTGTAGGTTGGGTATAATAATACCTACCTCACAGAGCCTGTACATGGTAGTCACTGGAGATTTGAGGATTATTTGTATCCGGCCAAGTTCCTTGTTTATAGATGAGAGTGTGATGGCAGATAGAGCTTTTGCAACAGAATCTGGTGATGACAAGATCTGGTATGTAAAATGGGAAGTGGATGAATTGGAACTGAAGAGGCCATCAGTCCGAGAGAATAGGAGTTAGATGACTAACTAGGAGTCAGTTAATGAGTAGAGCTTGTGTGGACAGGCTAGGATCTGGTTGCTACAATCATCACTGAATAAATGGGAGTGACTAGGGGGGCTGCAAGGATAGCCGTGATGAGGGTGGAATCTGGAATCCTCATGAATAAAGCAAAAATTCCTCTCCTCCAGTATAGTCTTGTGGTATTACAGGCAAGTACCAAATATTTGCTGAAAAACAAATACTAAAATAGACATATACATAGGGAGCTTAAGATCATCCAAAAATTGGCTCGTTTGTAATAAGATTCATGTTTTCTGGGGCATTCTTCTCCAGTCTCTGGTTATACTGACATATACCATTATCAAATTTGCAGGCCTTTAATTTTTCACTTTTTCCTTTTCAAAATAAGTAAAAATAATTTTGCCAAAAATTCCAACAATGTCTGCTTTTCGTATTTGGTCTCAGATTACCTGTCATTTAGAGGTCATGTCCCCTTCAGTCTCCTCCAGTCTGAAACAGGTCCTCAGTCTTTCCCTGCCTTTCATGAACTCGACAGTTTTGTCATTTTCCTATTTTTTTTTTTTTTCTTTTTTTTTTTTTTTTTTTTTTTGGCCATGCCACATGACTTGCGGGATCTTGTTCCCTGACCAGGGATTGAACCCTGGGCCACAGTAGTGAAAACTGTGGCCTTGTAATACAAAGAGTAGTATATAGAATCCTAACCTCTAGGCCACCAGGGAAGTCCCCTCCCTTGACAGTTTTGAAGACTACAGGCCTTACAATCCAGACGGTGACCCTCAACCTGGGTCCATCCAGTCTTTTTTCATAATCAGGACATGGCTGGCAGGAAACCACAAAAAAGATGTTGTGCTCTTCTCAATCCATTGCGTCACATCAGGAGACACATGATGTCCATCTGTCCCACCGCTGGTGGTGTCAACCTAACCATCACCCCCTGCTGTAAATTCACCACATCTGCTATTAAGTTACCATTTTCCCTTTGTATTTGGTAGTATTTTATTTTATTTTATTTTATTTATTTATTTTTTTGCGGTACACAGGCCTCTCACTGTTGTGGCCTCTTCCATTGTGGAGCACAGGCTCTGGACGTGCAGGCTCAGTGGCCATGGCTCACAGGCCTAGCCTCTCTGCAGCATGTGGGATCTTCCCGGACCGGGGCACGAACCCGTGTCCCCTGCATCAGCACGCAGACTCTCAACCACTGCGCCACCAGGGAAGCCCCTGTATTTGGTAGTATTTTTGAGGAGAATTTCCAAGGTTACACTTCTTCTTCTCTAAACCTTCTCTAAACTAAGTAGCTTTAGTTTCCACTGATGTCACTTGCCTTCATCAACCACTACTATGATGGTTGCCAAATGTTTCTATCATTCCTTCCACATTATTAACGTTCTACTGTAAGGAATTTTCCCTTCCTCACCTTTATATATTTATTTGTTCAGTAAGGACAGCATGGATTTGTGGGTTCCTATTTTATTCATTTTTTATTATCCAGTATATTTATTATTTGTTTTGGTGCTCAAATTTTCATAGATTTGGCCATTATTAGAAGCCCCTTTGAGTTGGTTCCTATGTCTTTTTGACATATCTCTATCATTCTTTGAGCATTTCCTTACTTTCTGGCACAATAAGATTTCCAGGCTCATCTTGTACTTTTCCTGCTTCAGCCCTGGAAACAGTTATTTCTCTAAGAAGCTCTTAAGGATAATACTTAGAAACCAAGCTTACCATGCTTAGTATGCCCTCTTTAGCAGACATAGCTAGAAAATATATACACACATTATGTATATACATACACACATCTATAACTATTTCTGTATCTTACAGTTTTATATAATTTTATGAGAGACATCCAATCCTCCTCAAGTAATATACCAGACAATCGATAAAAACTTTCCAAATATATGAATCAGTGTCTTCCCATTCCCTTTTTCCAAAAACAGCTTACATCTTGGTTTGTTTTCCCAACTTTAATTTTGAAAAATTTTTAAGTTGCAGAAAAGTTGAAAAAAATCATAATTGTGCATATATCTTTTAGTAGTTTAACCAATTATTAATGTTTTGCCACATTTGCTTTATCTCTCTCTGTGTATGTGAATGTATGCATATGCACACATACACATCCATATTTTTTTCTGAGCCACTTGAAAATAAGTTGTAGCTATACAACATTTCACTCCTAAGTACTTTATTATGTAGCTCCTAAGAACAAGGGCATTTTTCTGGTATCACACCTAATAAGATTAAAATTAATATGATAGAATTTACCTGATATACTGTTCATATCCAAATTTCCCCACTTGTTTCAATAAAGTCTTTTATCCCTCCCCTCTTTTTTTTGGCAAGGGGACCCAGGGTCAGTGAAAGACTCCGCACTGAGTTAATCTTTTTAGTCTCCTTTAATTTAGAACAGAGAGACCCTTGTTCTGTTTTGCTTTTTGGGTTTTTTGTTTTTGTTTTGGCTTTTTTTTTTTTTTTTTTTTTTTTTTTTTTTTTTTTTTTTGTTTTTCTTTTTGCGGTCCATTGACTCTTGGAGAGTCAAGGCCAGCTTTCTTGTAGAGCATCCCACACTCTGGATTTTTCTCATGACTAGACTCAGTGAAATGTCTTTTTGCAAAAATATGGTATAGGTGTTGTGTATAGCCCATTGCATCAACAAGGAGCACATAATGTCAGGATGTTCAGTTAGTGGTGATGCTAAATTGACTGCCTGGTCATGGTGCTGTCTGCCACTTCTCTCCATTGGTAAGATACTGTGACTAATAAGTTAGTCTGAGATTTTACTTTGAGACTATGTACATATCTGTTTTAGCAGCCATTGATGAACCTTACCTGAATCAATTATTAAATTGCTTATTTCAAAATGATTTCACAATTCTGTTGTTCCCTTTATATTTTTAGTTAGCAGTCTTCTATAAAGAGTGCTTTCTTTTCTCTCCGTGCTTTTATTTTTTTTTATAGCTTTACTGCAAACTCCAGGTATCATGAGTGTGTTATAATCTGTCACTGTTACTCTTCTTTTCAAAGCTCAAATTGCCTCAAATTTGGACTTCCCTTTGGTATAGCCCCTGTGTTATTCTGACATGTCTCTTTCAGTCTTTAGGTACTACCTTGGTTTCTGTATACTGTGTTCCAGTCTCAACCAATGTAATTATAATTTTAAATAGTTACGTAATACTCTAGTTTATGCATTGAAATTCATGTAATTGTATGTCTATTGACTATTTAGGTTTTCTGTTATTAATAATATTGCTGTCAACCATTTTATGCACAAAGTTGTGTTTTTCCTTTTGGAGAGATTATTGCCTTAAGACAAATTTCCTAAGTGTTTCTAAAAATTCTGTGGATATTGTTTTACAAAGGATCATACAACTTTATCACTGGCATTGTCTGTGGCTTCATTTTACATGCATTTGCCAGTACTGTTGTTATTGCTTTCCATTTTTGCTCAGTTTTTTTGTGTGTGTTAGTCAACCTTGTACGCATAGGTTTTTTTCTTACAAAATGAGAATTTTTGCTTATTGAAGAGATGAAAATAATGAATAATGAAGTGACTTATAATTCTATTTTAGATTTCCTTGACAATTGTGGTGTCACAATTCATATAATTTGGTTTTATCTCCATTGTCCATGTTCAGAGAATTTATTCTGAATGGTGCTTCTCGGTGTCTCATTTTTTAACAAGATATGCAGATGAACTTTACAGCAGTGGTGCTTAACTAGAGGCTTGTATCTGCAGCTTTCAGAGCACATGTATGCCTTGATCTCATCCTAGACATTCTGTTTCATTTGGTTTAGAATGAAGCCAAGCATTTTCTGTTTTTAGGAAATTCCACAGTTGATTCTGATACCCATCATTGTTTGAGAATCACCACTTTGGAGATTTTACATATTAGTTACTGTGTATATCCCCAGTCTCCAGTTGCTTAGAAATCATTCACAAATATTTCTTTTTTATTACTTGCCAATTTAATACAGTGTAATAATCCTAAATCAGCAAATATTAACCAATACTAAGTCAGAATCTAGTTTTTCTTTTATTTTTTTGCACTTTGATTTTTGTTTTTTGTTTTAGTGAAATGGGCATAATAGTGTTTTGTTGTTTTTTTTTATTATAGACATACTTTGTTTCCTTATATCCTTTGCCTAAGTGATGTGATTTTGTAATTCAGTCCTATTTGTAATTACTGACATTGCTTAGAATTAATTCTTATATTCCCATTAGAATCTATTTTTCTGATAATATTGAGAAAGTAATGTTAGTTATTTCCGACTCAGCAATATGCATATTAATGTCTTCTAAACAGTGTAGGGTTAAGGAATTTCTATTTGAACTTAAAACTAAAATTCATCTTTGTGTTTACAGGGCATGTCTTTCACTTCAGAATGGTTTGCAGAGTATTTGCAATCATCAGCAGCTGCTTGTTGGGTATGTTTGAATTTCTAGAAAATAATTTGATTCCATTTCAAAGAATTGATACCATTTTTTTCCACACTTAATAATTAACTTTTCTCTCTAAGTAGATATATCTCCTTGGTCATTTTCTATAAGAAAAATAAACCCTTTCTAAGTGGACTGAAAGAGAATACTAAAGAAAATGTTATTTATTTCACATTTCATTATTCGTAAATTGAATGTGTCCAAGCTTATTCAGCAGAAATTGAATGTTAGGGGAAACTGATTCATACTATCATTTAGTAAATGTTTATTGATGACCTACTGTATGCCAGGCCCTGTTCTCAAATCTTTAAGTTATCTATTTCAGGAAAAGGCAGAGAAAAATCCCTCGTGGAATTATATTGTAAGTAAATGTTAGGTGGTGCTAAGTGCTATAAAGACAAATAAATCAGGATAAAGAGCATAGAGAGTGGAAGGTGGTGCTATTTTATGGAGGGTGGTCAGGACAGGCATCTCTGGGAGCGTGATATTTGAGTAAAGATCTGAAGGAAGTAGAAGAGAGCCTTGTAAATATCTAGGGGAAGAGTATTCTAAGCAGAGACTACAGCAAGTGCAGAGGTCCCAAAGCAGGAGTTCTCTGGTGTTCATGCTAAAGAAACAGGAAGGAGACCTGAGTGGCTAGAGCAGAGTGAGCAGGGAAAGTGGAGAGATGAGTTCACGGGTGAAGGGAGTGACTATGGTGAGGACTTGGAGTTTACTGGAAGGGATGTAGAGGATTTTGTGCAAAGGAAGACAATGGTTGACCTCAGGTTTTGAAAAGATCACTCTAATATGGAGAGCACATTTTGTTGGGGCAAAGACAGAAGCGGGGGGACCATTTAGGAGAGTATTAGAGTAATCCAAGCGAGAGAAAGTGGACTCGTGGACAAGAGTGGTGCCATGGAAGTGTGAGAAATGTTTAGCTTCTGGATATACTTTGAAGATTCAGCCAATAGGATTTAATGGTGAGCTGGATACGAGAAGGGAGAGAAAGAATATTACTGCAGTGATTTTTATTTGAATAATTAAAAATGGAGTGGTCTTTTCCTGAAAGGGAAAACTGAAAATGAAGTTTGAGGGGCAAACTCAACAAATGATCTTATTTTGCTGTTCATAAACAAATTACTTAAAATGGATTAGATTTATATGCATGAGCTCTAATATAGGAACAAATTATTATTCTTTCAAAAATAATTATTCTGCATAATAGTTTTTTTAAATGTCATGCTGTTAGTTCTTCTTTTAATTGCTTGTCTTTATATTTCCACCTAAAATTTACAGTTAAAATGTACAGATTATTTATCTGCCATATAGAAAGTTCTTTTCTACTTAAATTAGAGGAAAGGTATTAAAAGCAAAAGAATATCCAGAAAAAGAATTTGCAAAATAGGTTAAGTTAAAACTGAGCATAATTTTTATGTCAACTTTTGCTTAGGATGTTAAAGTCCATACATTTCTTTGTCATTGCTCTCTTGTAGGTGTATGCCAATCTAACATCTTGCCAAGCTCTTGGAAATATGTGTGTGATGAATATGAATTCTTATGACTCTACCACTTTTGATGCATGTCGACTGTTTCAATTTATCTTTGAAAATACTGCTGGACTGGGCACTGTTCATTCTGTTTCATTTTGGTAAGGCTCTTCTAATTGACGAACCATCATTTTGACGAAATTCAGTGCAATTACTTTCACAAATACATATTAAGAATTGTTCCCCATTATTAAAACAATTGTGATTGTTTATAGGAGACAGAATCTTCCATGGCTGTTCTATGGAGACCAGCTAGGATTAGCACCTCAAGTACTCAGTACTACACCTCTTCCTACAAATTTCAGTTTTAAAGGGGAAAACAAGGTACAAGTCACTATATTATTGAAGGATAACTACATTTTGATTTACAATTTTAAAAGGTAACAAGAATATTACTAGTCATAATTCTTGGTAGGCTTTTAAAAATTTAATTACTAAACTAAATCTAAATATTAGCTGTTGAGGAACTAAAAATATAAAGTTTAGCTGCCTTACTTGAGTATATGATACCTCTGGATTATGTCATTATGGCAGCAAGTAGTACTTATGGGGTTGGGAAGGACAGTTTTCATCACCAAATGCAAAGCCATCTCTGTCCTGTATCTCCACATGTTTAAAAAGGGCTTCCAGGGGCTTCCCTGGTGGCGCAGTGCTTGAGGGTCCGCCTGCCGATGCAGGGGGCGCGGGTTCGTGCCCCGTTTCGGGAGGATCCCGCGTGCCGCGGAGCGGCTGGGCCCGTGAGCCGTGGCCGCTGGGCCTGCGCGTCCGGAGCCTGTGCTCCGCAGATGGGAGAGGCCACAGCAGTGAGAGGCCCGCATAACGCAAGGAAAAAAAAAAAAAAAAAAAAAAAAGGGCTTCCAAAGATTGACTGGGATTCTTATGCCTTTCCTTAGCATTCACAGCTCCAAATTCTTACCTCAACTTTTTGACCTTCTAGAATGAAAGAACAGATTTTTCCCTCCCCTACTCCCCCTCCATACACACACACACACACACACACACACACACACACACACACACACACACACACACACCACATTTAACAGGTTTCAAAAGAAGTTATCTGTCACCAGCACTGCCTCTCAATTCTGAAATAATAGTTTTTGTGCGAAAACCCAGTCCATTTATTTTGATGTGTTTAATCATAGAGATACTTAGATTAATGTTGCTTCAAAGTAAAGATAGTTGAATTCAATATTTGATCTCTGGAAAAAGAAAAGATCAATCAACAAATGAAAAAAATTTTATAGACTATTTTACTGAATATATACTCTGGAAGTCTAAACTCTGAAAGTTTGTGTAGACTGTTATATGTAATATATATATTTATAGAGTTTCAGAGTATGTGACATTATTTTATTCTTGTTTTTCTTTAATCAGAATACAAAACTGAAGTTTGTTGCTGCTTCTTATGATGTAAGAGGAAATTTTCTCAAGTGGCAAACTTTAGAAGGAGGTGTTTTACAGGTGAGTATGCGTCTAGCTAGAGAATTCCTAACGTGTCTTATTTTTGACTGAGGCAAAGATGAGAAAAAAACTAGATTATTGCTTGGATAAAGCATCAGTTGCTTGGTAGAGTTAATTTTTTTCATGTGTTTTAAATTGGAATTTCTTAAAACTAAGTTATGACTTATAACAAAGATGCTCCCTTAACTTTTCATTCCCTTGATACATTGAATGAGTATTATATAAAGTATATGTCCATGTTGAGTGTTGAGAACCCTTGACTATAAGCAAAGAAAACATTTGTGAGAGATGTTTATCAGTTGTATTCTTTTGCTGTAGCTTTGTCCAGACACAGAGACAAGATTAAATGCTGCTTATTCCTTTGGAACAACCTATCAGCAGAATGTAAGTTGGAACTATTTTAGGCAGTCTATATTTTAGCTTCATTTTTTCACATCAGCAATAATTGGAATATCTTTGAATTTTTGAAATTGGAAATTTTTTGTAGTAATGAATAATTTCGCCGATTGATATAGTTTTCATTAATCTAATCAGCATGAAAAGAGTACCTTGTCATAGATAGAGTCTTAAACATCATAATCAGTTGTTTATTTACTTCTAGGCATATAGGTCATAAAAATAATCTCTACTTTTGAGCATTTTAGAATAAAGCAAAAGTATTACTTCATTTTTAATGAACAATAAAGTGTTATCACTTCCTCTTCCCTCTACCCTCCAGAAACAAATAAAAATGCTTTCCTTTTCTCTCCTTCCATGCTTTCCTCCCTCCCTCCCTCCCTGACCTTCCTTCCTTTGGTAATGCATTTTACAACTACAGTATGGTACAAAGGAATATTATGAGCCATTAAACGTTTGAAAGAAATTCACTAGTCTACAAAAATACTTCTTGATAAAATGCATGTACGTACACCATAGAACAAAACTGTGCTTCCAGTTTTGTTAAAACCACAATGAAAAATACTATCAGGGAAAACAGATTAGAAGAAGATAAACATTTTTAACAGTGGTTATCTCTGAATGGTGGGATTACAGGTGATTTTCTCTTTTTTATATGTTCCAAATTTTCTATCATGAACGTGAATTTACTTTGATTATCAGAAATGACTTCTATGTTATTTAAAAAAAATGCTATTGTGTGTCTACCTTGGGTCAGGAAAATCAACACTTGTTAAATGCCCTCTGCTGTCTGCTCAGCATTTTATCATTTTTATCTCATCTGATCCATGAAATAACTATGTGAAATACATATTATTTGTGTGTTATGAATGAGGAAATGGTGCTCAGTAAGATTAGGTCATTTACTCAAGGTGTTGCATCAAGTAAATGTTCTGTTAGGCTTGAAAATCATGGTTTTTCCATTGAACCTGGTTGCCTCTCAAGGAGTTCATAGCCTAGTAGAGAAAACAGCTATATAGACAGACAAAGAATTGCAAAGAATGTGATGTGTTGTTCTATAGATATGAACAAGGTACCATGTTGGTCCAAAGGAGGGTTCATTAGCAGTTCCTAGGGAAATACGGAAAGGCTTTACAGAGTGAGTGATACTTGAGCTTGTAGAATGAATATGAGTTTGCCAGGAGAGCACAGTGGGGAAGGGAATGTCAAGCAGAAACACCATTTGCAATGTCAGAGAGATGTAGAATAGCATAGCATATTTAGAGACTGTAAGTAGATTAGTGTGACTGGACCATAGACAGAGAGGGAGCAGTGGGAGATAAACCTGGCTCTGTTAAGGGGAGCCAAATCAGAAACAGCAGTGTACATCAGGAGAAAGAATTGGGACCTCATCCCATAGGATAGGAGTTTTTAAACCTTTTCACTGTACACTTACTGTTGAGAATGAATGGGTTGTAGGACAAGATCCAGGTGGTTCTTTACTGTTAGTTATTTTGGCCCTTATAAAAGAATCATACATAGTATTCATGTTTTGAAAGACACATGGAAATGTGTATAAACAAGATAACTGAAAGATATTTCATTTTACAATTAAAAACTTTTAAAGATAATAAATATGCTTTCTAATTTTCAATTTGGATACTTTCATTTTTCATTTTCTTTTCCAGTGTGAGATTTCTATCTCTAAGATCTTAACTGATTTCCCCATGCCTACATTTTATGATGTGTACCTTGAATATACTGATGAAAATCAACACCAATATATTTGGGCTGTGCCTGTGTTAAACTTAAATCTTCAGCACAATAAACTATTTGTGAACCAAGGTAAGACATCCATACATACCACTCTTTCTCTGAGCTGAAATCAATAAACCAGTCAACCAACATGATAATTAAATAAATCACAGATTATAAGAGTGGTCATAGATTCTCTCTGAGTATAAGTTTCTATATAGCATGGCTAAAAGTAAAACAGTAAGGTTGCTGGTATATTTAGAAATTTTTACTAAATATATCAGGCTTATTAAGAAATTATGTTATTTATTGCTAAAAGTGTATCCTGAGAAAAATTAGTAGAACTGAAAAAGTTCTCCTTGAGAGCCATCTTGAAGAATTGAAGATATTTTTTAAATGCCATCTCTTTTTTTTATTATTATTATAAAAGACAGTAGCTCTGGCAAGTGGCTTCTGACTCGGCGCATTTTCTTAGTGGATGCACTAAGTGGGAGAGAAAACGACTTAGGAAGTCAGCCAAGATTAATTCGAGTTGCTACCCAAATATCACTGAGGTAAACAAACGTCTAATGCACTAAGTGAGGCTTGGAGTATATGGGAAAATGTGGTAGTGAAAGTATTGACCTGTAATTATCAGGTGAAAACAGTAAGAACACCTGAACTGGAACAATACATACTGTGTTTTTACATGTCCCGATAGATTGGGATACACTAATAGAGGGGAGAATTACGTCAGAAGAGATTAAGGACTTTTGCCAAAATTCATATTGTAGGCCCACTCTAGACCTGCTAAATTAGAATGGGTTGAGAGGGGGAAAGTGAAGATCAGTGGGCTGAAGCAGGTATGTTAGAGCCTGCCAGGTGATTGCAATAGGCAGGCCTCCTGCGGCTCCATCTCCTTTAACAGCTACTGTTCTAGGTTGGCCCTCATTAATTATCAACACCTCACTCGTCCTAGGATACTTTTTATTTTTAAATAAATTTATTTATTTATTTTTGGTTGTGTTGGGTCTTCCTTGCTGAGCACGGGCTTTCTCTAGTTGCAGTGAGTGGGGGCTACTCTTCATTGTGGTACGCGGGCTTCTCCTGGTGGTGGCTTCTCTTGTTGTGGAGCATGGGCCCTAGGTGTGCGGGCTTCAGTAGCTGTGGCACATGGGCTCAGTAGTTGTGGCTCGCAGGCTCTAGAGCACAGGCTCAGTAGTTGTGTTGCACGAGCTTAGTTGCTCCGTGGCATGTGGGATCTTCCTGGACCAGGGCTCAAACCCGTGTCCCTGGCATTGGCAGGCGGATTCTTAACCACCGCTCCACCAGGGAAGTTCCTTCCTAGGATACTTTAATGATGACCCTGCCTTAGGGTAGTGCCTTGCAGCCCTCATGTGTCTTCTCCAGTGTGAGATTCCTATCTCTAAGACCTTAGCCAGCCTTCCCACTCCAATATTTTATGATGTGCACCTTCAATACACTGATGAAAATCAACACCATCTTCTTTCTGGCACTTCAACATACATTATTTTTTCACTTCGATTTTTATGATAATCTTATGAGGTAGGCAGTACAGAAGTTTTGTCATATACCTTGCTGAAATCCAACTGTGCTGTTTTTAGCAGTCCCTCAATCTAATGTAGTATCCCTAGTGAAAACGAAATTGAAACTAGTCACACCTGATTTGCTCTTGGAGAAACTATGCTGGCCACTGGTGCTTGGCATTTTCCTTTCTGAGTTTACAAACTGTACATTACTAATGCATTGAATTCAGCAAAATATACCCCATTATGTGCCCTAAACAGTATTAGATATGACACAGTATTTTGTTAAGAATTCATCTTCTTTGAAAATTAGGATATTATCTGCCTTCCTCTAGGCTTCATGTAACACTTCTCTTTTGAGTAGTCCTCAAAAGTGGTGCACAGTGGTTCACTGATTTCATTTGTAAACTTCATAGGACCTAGATCAACAAGAGTTTCTAATTTGTCTCAGAGGTTCAATATAAAGTTCTGACCACATCAAATAGCCTATGTTGTTACCATTAGTTTATGTTTGACCTCTAGTTTTTAGTAACTGGTAGTTCTGAGATCACCAAGACTATCCATATCCAATTCAGAAGAAACAATAAGTTAAATTTATGTTTAAGGGCCTAGATGTATTTACAACTAAAAATGAATATTCTTTTAAACAGTATCCGCCTTGTACCCAACACAAAAAATGGAAATATCTACCCTCCCTTAATTACCATTGCCTACAGTGACATTGATATCAAGGATCCCAACGGCCAGTCTGTGAAGGTGAGTTCCTTCCTAATCATTGCCTCTCTATGTGTTAGTATAATGCTGATAGAGTTTGTGTTATGGTCAAAAGACAATTAGTCCTTTTTAAAGTTTTAAATAAACATGGCACTTTATATAGTCAAGACTTAATTATTTTTTACTAATAGTGGTAAGAGGTGAGTTCTTATGGATCTTGGGTATAAAAAAGCAAGGATTATGTTTGTCAGTAGACAGCGTCACCAGCAGCTGGGCCTCCCTGTCAGTATCCTGGGGTATGCTGAGCCATGCAGCATCTGCTCCCATCCTCTTTGGCCACCTTGCTTCTGTTAAGATTTTGCCTCCTTGACTAACTAAACCAGGAACTCAAACCTTAAGTGGGCATGTGTGTTCCTCTTCTCACCAGTCTTGCCCACTTGATAGAGACACAATTCAACAGGCAGAAAGAGAATCAAATTATCAGCTTTATAACTAGTAACGCTAAAGTGAGCTAGAGAATGCAGTTTGGACCTGCAGCCAATTAGTCTTCTGCTATTTCCCAACTCAGTTAGGTTTAACCACAGAACTAAAATCCTCCCCTGCCTGGCAGGGCCTGTATATGGAAGCGATACCATGTACACACTGAAAACGGGCTACACCAAAGAGAATGAGCCTGGGAAAGGCCGAGCCGCATGACACAGTTCCTCCTCTCTACCTCGCCAGGCAGATGAAGCATCCCTGCTTTGATGAGGGGTAAATGAGAGAGGATAGAGATCAAAAGCAGGCTAATCCTTCTATACTTCTTCCTCATTCCCTGTCCTCTCCAGAAACATGAGAATTGGAAGGTGAGCATTCCTTACTCCAAGACTCACTAATAGCTTTTAATTTCTATTATTTTACTTCTCTGAATTTTAAAATTCTAGTTCTTCAGCCAGTGCTTTTGGCCTCTCTGTTGCACTTGTACGTGTGCTCAGCTACTATTGGATTCAGGCTTTCATTAAGTGAAAAGTAGGCACATAAATAACTTTTCTCTAAAAGATTTCACATCCTCATTTGTATTACCTGATTTCATGTTAAAATTAGCTTTGATTGCCTATATTTGTATACATTATAGTGAGAGGAGAAGAAAATCCAGAAACATGCTTAGTAACAACAGAAGACTGCCTGGTTTACGTCTTCCTGGAATGGTCATTCTTGGGTAGTCAAGAATATATTTATCTTAACATAAAACACTTCTGGGTGTTTTCTTTAAATATTTTTCTTGTCCAAAATATTCTAAACTAAGTCTTGACAAATTGGAAAAAAAGTTGAGAGAATCATAAAACCATATTGAGGAAGTCCACCTCAAATTCATTCTAGTTGTAGAATGTACAGTTCTTTCATTATTTCTTAATTTCTCATGACAGCTATTGTAAAAGTTCTACATTCATTTTAAGTATCCAGCTACATCGCTGCTCTCTCACCAAAGACAAATAACCTATCTTTGTATTTTACTGAGCAGATCAAAACCATCCAATATGAATTCCTTCAGATTTCCTCTTTAATACTTAAGTATCTCTGTTTCATTATCTTTCCTAACTCCTGTTCCTATTTCTAAGAAAAAAGGACCCTTCCCACTTTCTTAAGCGAATTTTCAACCTGTACTTGTTTAGGGTACTTCCTCCAGCATCCTGTTTCACCCACAACCTTTATTCAGCCAGCTTCTCTGCTGGTCCCTTTCCTTTGCTTATAATACCCTTCAGGTTGCCCCATCTTAAAAACAAACTAACACAACCAAACAGTAAAATCATCCATCAACTCTGCCAACTGTTCAGCTTGCTATCGTGTGTCTTTCCTTGATTTCCCAACCATTTACTCTTTCATCATTTGCAGTTTTGCTCTTGCCATTTGCTTCTTTGAAAACCTGTTTCATGAAGTCAGCAATGAATTCCACATACACTGGCTTTATTTCTTTAACTTGACACTTACACAGTTGACCCTTGAACAACATGGGTTTGAACTGCATGGGTCTACTTATACATGGGGTTTTTTTTTCTCTTCACTCAATATGTACCACAGCACTACACGAAGTTGGTTGAATCCATGGATGTGGAGGGCCAATTCTAAAGTTCTATCTGGATTTTTGACTGCACAGGGGTTGGTGTCCCTAACGCCTGCATTGTTCAAGGGCCAGTTGTACAACATTTGACACTACTGGTGACCTCCTCCTTTTTGAAACTCCCTGTTTATGACCTTGCTAAGACTTGGGTATCTTCCCTCTCCTACTTCTCATACTCCTGTTTCTCTTAACCCTTTACTGGTTCTTCTTTCTACTGTCTCAATATAATGGTATCCCTAAGATTCTTGTTCAGCCCTTTGATTAATCTGCCATCTTAGGCTGTGATTGTTTAGCCAGTTGCTGAATTCTTGATATATAAGATCAGTCACACTCCTCAGTTACAGAAACCTATCAGAAAATGAAATATGGTTAATTTGGCTTGACTGCTATTAATGAACCTAACCTAGCTCCTAATGAAGCCCTCTTTCTTTAACATGTGTTCAAAAGGGATGTTTAAAGTAGCATGAATAATTCCCAAGAGCGTATTCATTTATGTACTGATACAAATAAGGGTCAACTCTAGTAACATTGATAGTTCAAAAGTATGGCATTTATGGTAAAATTCAGTTACAAATGTATTTTTATAGTAAAAGTAGATTTGTGTTATATAACTTCAGTATGGCTAATTTGCTTTCTTTTAAATATCAGGTTTCTTTCTCGGTCACATATGAAATGGATCAAGGAGAAGCACATGTCCAGACAGATGTGAGTTTATTTTAACCTGTTAAAAATACTTACAGTATATTTTTTAATTAAAAAGAAAGTTTTTACATGTACAGGAAAGTTGTCAAAATAGAGAGATTTGCAATATATCCCTCACCCAGCCTCCCCTAATGTTAACATCTTACATGATGGTAGTACAGCGATGTTAATCAGAAAATTAATATTGATGTAGTCCTGTTAACTAATCTACATACTCTTTGGATTTTACAGATTTTTTTCACTATCCTTCTTCTGTTTTGGGACCCAGTCCAGGGTCACATATTACTTCTAGCCATCGTGTGTATCTTTAGATGTGACAGGTGCTCTGTCGTTCTTTGTCTTTCATGACTGACACTGGTATTTTGGACCTCAGTTGGGTTTATCTGATATTTTCCCATGATTAAATGTAGTTTTAGCACAAATGCCACAGAAATGATGTTGTACCCTTCTCAGCAAATCATATCAGAAGACACTTGATGTCAGTGTATCTTATTAACAGTGATGTCACCTTCGATCATGTGGCTAAGATGGTGTCCACAGAGTTCTCCACTGTATTTTTCCACTTATAATTAATAAGTATCTTGTATCTTGTGAGGAGATACTTGAGATTATGCAAATATCCTGCTCCTCATTATTCTTTTGCCCTCTAATTTTAGCACCCATTGTTAATTCTTGCCAGTAAAAAGTGTTACTGTCACATTTGTCTGATGGTGATTGTGTATTTCTATCATTTCTTCTATATTTGTTAATTCAAGTTCTGCTATAAGGAGGAACTGTCCCTTTGTCCACATTGATTTATTTATTCAATTATTTATTTAAATCAGTATGGACTCATGGATATTTATTTATTCTAGCAATAATAATTCATTACTATCTATTTTCTTGCTCAAATTGTCCCAGATTTGACCATTGGGAGTTCCTTAAATTTGGCTCCTGGGCTTCCCTGGTGGCGCAGTGGTTGAGAGTCCACCTGCCGATGCAGGGGACGCAGGTTCGTGCCCCGGTCCGGGAAGATCCCACGTGCCTCGGAGCGGCTGGGCCCGTGAGCCATGGCCGCTGAGGCTGTGCGTCCGGGGCCTGTGCTCCGCAATGGGAGAGACCACAGCAGCGAGAGGCCTGCGTACCGCAAAAAGCAAAAAAATAAAACTCCGTGTCTGAGTGACAGCTGTCCATGACTCACTGCCTGACCTTGGGTTAACCACTTAATCTCTCTGCCTTGGTTTTTCTCTCCATAATATGAGCATAATAACTCTTACCCACCTCACTAGGGCAAGGATGATTAATCAGTGTTTATAAAACTCAATAAATCCTTTAAAAAAAAAAAATTTGGCTCCTATGTCCTTTTAGCCACCTTCCACCACCATTTTTTGAGTACTTCCTTACTTTCTATTTACAGTATCTTTGAACATGGATGAAATTACATTATGAAATTACATAAATTCCAAATTTTTTTTTTCCTTTAGATTGCTTTGGGTGTGTTGGGTGGACTAGCTGTTTTATTGTCTCTTTTGAAGACAGCAGGTTGGAAGAGACGCATTGGGAGTCCCATGATCGATTTACAGGTATGATCACAGGAATTTTTTAAGTATATTTTTGTCTTTTGGCTATTTTATATCCTAATAAAACACAGCTAGAGAATGAGTCAAAAGTTGCCTTGGGCTTCCCTGGTGGCGCAGTGCTTGAGAGTCCGCCTGCCGATGCGGGGGGCGCGGGTTCTTGCCCCGTTTCGGGAGGATCCCGCGTGCCGCGGGGCGGCTGGGCCCGTGGGCCGTGGCCGCTGAGCCTGCGCGTCCGGAGCCTGTGCTCCGCAAATGGGAGAGGCCGCAGCAGTGAGAGGCCCGCATAACG